GGCGTCCACGGTACGCGTGGCCAGTACACGTGTCCAAGGTTTATTTCAAAATCGTAACTGGTACGAAGTATGCTAAACGTGGGATGTAGGTCGCATGGTAGTGCGTATGTAATAAGTACTTGCGTACAGTTCCTTCTTGCTCGACTCGCGGCTGATAAACGCTTGCTCCGGATAAAACCGTTTGTCTCTGAGAAGTAATGAAAGGAATTTCTATTTAAGTCACATTTTTTTAAAGTTTTATTTTGCATGAAACAAGTATTGTAACTAAAATTTTAAATTATGCGCGGATATTCCTGTGTAGCTAGCGAAATTCTCGAGCAATTCGTACGTACTCCGTCAACTGCGTACGATTGAAATTCCCGTCGCGAGGTAAACGCGCATACGATTAAGGGGCCACGAAGGAAACGGGGGGACCTCGGCGCACGTTTCACGCACGTGAATAAGAAGTAGTTTTTCTTTTTTCTACGATACGCGCAAAGAATTGACCGCGTCGGGTCATCTTCTCGCCTTTCAACGCCTAACGAAGTTGCAGCAGTTTTGCATTTAGATTTGAAAATTTCTTTAAATGATCCAACTGAAAAATTAGAATATTCATGAAAATAGAGAAATGAGTTTTTTAACGGTCGTAGATAACCAGTCGTGTGCGAGGAGAACATATGAATATGCAAAGAGGAAAAATCTCCGCTCTTTATAATCTGAGAATAAAAAATTCATGAATTTTAGCAACGAGTAATGCTTGATGTTAATAATGCGTTACAAAATATTCCGTTTTTCCGCTGGATTCAGCCGTAGTAACAATTCATCGCCGCCGCGTTTTCGGTCGATAGCGACTCTCCAAACATTGGTTGCATGGTTTTATCTGGGCAAACGGGCGTTCTTATCAGCGTCACCAGGTATTATGTCGGCGAACGAACGAGCAAAGCGTATACACCGCTGGGAACACCTTGCATTCCAGTTCTTTAATTTTTTCGAACGCAAAGCCTCTTCTTTGCCCATCTTGAGCTGTTCTGAGTACAGCGGTCGTGTCCTTTCGCCTCGTATGACCTCGCGATGGGTGTTCTTCCCTTTTCTTCAGGTATACGCCTCCTGACATTTTCAGGGAGCCCCAAGAGTTCGCTGGTGGCCCTGGGGAAAACCCTGGGGAAGGGAAAAAACCTCTTACGAATCGAGAGGATGATGGTGAAAGCATGAATGGATTGTTTAGAATAGCTTCTGATGGTTAGAATACAAAATATCCTGAAGAAATATGAAGTAAAATGAACTAGCAGGTAGTTCGTCCTGCCTTTCCTCTTAGATTACGAGATTAAATATTTATCATACATTGAAAAATAGTTAAGGATATATTGGC